ATAACTATAAGTGCAATTTTTTAAAAATATTTTTTAGTTGTAATTTAATAAATGGAGCTAAATAAAAAAAATTAAAAATGTCGGCTAACTTTATTATTATTAAATAAATTACGGAATAAAAAAAAATTGACATTTAGAAAATTTCATGTATTAAAAATGCAATTTTTTAAAAATAATTTTTCAGAACAAATTTTTTTGTTAAATAAAATTAAAAAATATTAAAGTGACAGCTAATATCATTTTATTAAAAACTTGTAAAAAATTAATGAAAATTAAGTTAGCTGACATTTAAAATTTTTTTTTATTGAAAAAATGATTTAAAAAAAATTGTCACTTGTAAAACACTCTAATAACTATAAGTGCAATTTTTTAAAAATATTTTTTAGTTGTAATTTAATAAATGGAGCTAAATAAAAAAAATTAAAAATGTCGGCTAACTTTATTATTATTAAATAAATTACGGAATAAAAAAAAATTGACATTTAGAAAATTTCATGTATTAAAAATGCAATTTTTTAAAAATAATTTTTCAGAACAAATTTTTTTGTTAAATAAAATTAAAAAATATTAAAGTGACAGCTAATATCATTTTATTAAAAACTTGTAAAAAATTAATGAAAATTAAGTTAGCTGACATTTAAAATTTTTTTTTATTGAAAAAATGATTTAAAAAAAATTGTCACTTGTAAAACACTCTAATAACTATAAGTGCAATTTTTTAAAAATATTTTTTAGTTATAATTTAATAAATTAAGCAAAATAAAAAAATCAAAAATGTCGGCTAGTTTTATTATTATAAAAAATTAACAGTCTAGATAATTTTAGTGTCCTAAATAAAAATCTAAATAATAATAATAATAATAAAAAGTGACTCACGTGAAAATTGCAAAATCACAAAAAATTGCAATACACCATAAAAACAATAAATATTCCTCATCTTTAACATTATCTCTCAACTAGCCGCCTCAAATAAAAATTAAAACTAATAAATGCACATTGCGCTTAATAAATAAATAATTAATTAAAATTAAACAATAAAATCAAGCAAAAACACTTGACCCATTGTTTGGATTTTGTATCGACAAATGACACATTATTATTACTATTATTGCACTATTATTATTATCAGCTGTCACTTTCAAACTTTCATATCCAGATGGCGCGTCGGTCGTTTTTTCGAATCCCAAAAAAAAATTAATTCGCTGCTAAGTTCACTCTGCATGCTCTGCAGATTGAAAATAAACTCGGAGCTAGAAAACGAGAAAATTCTAGAAAATTCTTTATTCTAAGAAAAACTATAAGAGCCGCTGTCTCGTTTTGAGCACAAAAATTACTAAGCTTGCATTTGTGAAGTTTAATAACCTATAAATAATTTTTTTATTTTTATAAATACTTTAAATATGAGTGGAAAAAAATTATTGTGCTATCATAGAGGTTGTGGACAAGATTATGACCCAGATGACAACAAACCTGGTGAGTAAAAAAAATTATTAAAATTAATTTATATTATAGCATATACTCAATAATTTTATTATGAATTAATTGTAGTAAAAAAAATGACATGTAGAATTAAAAAAAGAAAAAATGCTATTTTTTTAAATAATTTTTTTGATAAATAAAATTAAAAAATTGTAAAGTAACTGCTAAAGTTTACAGTCATAAAAAAATTAATTAAATTTTAAATTAAAAGTGTCAATTTTAATTTTAACTCACTGAAATTTTTGATGAAAATTAAATTAGCCATTAGAAAATTTTTATAATTTTTTTTATTTAAAAAAACTTGAAAATTTCGCTGCTCTATTTCTAGATACAGAACTGAGAAACGACCTTGTAACTCGTAAACTATTGACATTTTTAAAGATATAAGCTCATCCCGATGTTACACTCATCGAGACCTTTCATTTGAGTACCCACATCAATTTTTCATATATTTTATATATTTATATATTTTATATATATGTATATATGAAAAATATATCAAAAATGCATGTGGGTATTCAAATAAAAGCTCTTGATGAGTGTAACATCGAGATGAGCTTATATCTTTAAAAATGTCAATAATGAAAAAATTACCTTTTATTTCGTGAACTATTGACATTTTTTAAGATATAAGCTCATCCCGATGTTACACTCATCGAGACCTTTCACTTGAGTACCCACATCAATTTTTCATATATTTTATATATTTATATATTTTATATATATGTATATATGAAAAATATATCAAAAATGCATGTGGGTATTCAAATGAAAGGTCTTGATGAGAGTAACATCAGGATGAGTTTATATCTTTAAAAATGTCAATAGTTAAAAAAGTACAGTACAATTTAACGAAAACCATTATTTAATATAGGGTAAATGCACCAATTATTGACCGATTAAGGTTTTATTTTTCTGTACTAAGCTATAAAAAATCTATTAACCTACTAAAACCAATTTATAATAAAAATTAACAAAATTATATTAATTTTGTTATTTGAATCTTGAAATACTAAAATCACCAATTATTGACCGAAGAAACCCAATAAATGACCGACCGTTCTCCAATTAATTCACCGCTCAAATAATTATAAGTAATTTTGTAAACTACATATATGTAA